AAGTATATTCATTCAAGCAAAGAACCTTGCTATGGTCCACAAGCGAACGAGTGATAAAATATAAAAAAACCACTACAGTCGACAAGATTTCTGCATTGCGTTCACTTTTGAGTTAGTACAATGAATGACTCTGTAGTGCAGTGCAAACTGACGGCATTACCTATTTTGAACCAATATTCTTGGCGCTGCTACACATACCATAACAGCATACTAATGCATTGGCCTGTCTATATCCGCAGTCCAACCTGTCCCCGTTATGAGTGCGCCAAGAACGCAAATCGATGCTCCTTTGGCATTCTCCATTCTCCGTTGTCTGCTTCCACTGCTAATCAACCACTTTCACCATAGGTGGTCCGAGCGTACGACTGACGACTGAATCAACGATGGTGATCCAGCAAAGCCCAGTTTGCAATTCTTGACGTACAGGCCAGAGGATCGACCTCACACATTCTTCGCTCCGTTGTTGATTTAGTACTAGACCAACATTATCGCCGTAGGTCGTGGTCGGTAGGACGACTGAATCGGACAGCTCTTTCTTCGCCCGCACGAGCAGCTCACTGTCGAGCAGTGATGTTTTAATATGGCTAACGCTGACCGTTCCTGCATTCCATCTCTAACTCTATAGGGCACGTCACAATTGAGTCACTAATTCTTTTGGCGGAAATGAAGCATATTATTTAATTTCTTGTCAATCGTAGGGATTTAACAGATTTGAAATCATGAATCGAAGCTGCTCTGATGAAGTTGGCCGTAATGTTTTGTCTGGGTTCTAGATGATCACGTGATCACTTCATAAGCCAGTCGATTATCAAACATCTCTCCCTCACTTTAATTAACCACAGGAGTTCTGCCTATATTTATGAATCGACCATCGAGTATTACGAAATCGAAAACCAATTTCTGATCAACCAAATGTTGGCGTTTGAAACACCGAGCCATATGCGTGATTACGGCGACAGAACCATGCCTTCCAATAACAGAAGCTTGAAACTGAGACGAAAAGTTAAAGTGCCTGTCGTGTTCTGTTTTCCTGACAGGACTCGAAACCATCCAATAAAAGATTATATCGTTTGTTCAGAGGATGATGACATGATGTAGAAATTTAGACAGTATTATTAAACCAAATTGTGTTTATTTTAACGTGTGAAATCTGATAAACGTTATTTTCTCCATTTTCTGGCATCATTTGTCAAGGATTACTTAAGCAAATCTTCAGACCGTCATACTTTTGGAGATTAACGCGAACACCGACTTAAAATTTTTTTGGGAGGTCGCTGAAAAATCCCTTTCCTAAAAGTATCAGCTCTAAAGGCATAATGAGGTCTTCTACTAGAAGTTCGTTACACACCCTTTCAGGTCAAGCCTACGTGGCTTCCGTCACAGCGCAGTAGTATATATTTCTTTTGAAATTTGTCCTGTTATTCCATTCCGTATGTTTATTACTGTCCAATCACAATAAATGATTATAAAGAACAAATTATAGTAAAAAATTGACTGGTTGAAGTTCTCGCCTGGTTCATAATCAACTAAGCTTTAGCGAGAGCGCTTTACTTCGTGACAATCGCATTATTATCATCATCTTAACCCATCAACAGAAAGCAAATGCCTTGCTGAAACTATACATATTGTCAACGTGATGTCCTAAGCGTGCCGAGTTCGACGCCTCAGCAAAGTATCAACATTCTTGCTAATGGTTGATCCTTTCGAGAAAAAGCCGTAAGCTTATGTGTAACCTAGCGAGAATGAGCTCAATAGGATTAAGACTAGGCACCAAGAAATCAACGGTAGTGCTATGTAGAATAAATGACAGTCAGACAGCATAAATGAAAGACGGATTTGAGGCTCTACAGAAAGGGAACTTCTTCAAGCATATAAGAAAATAAAGATCAACCCCGATGTTCTTAGGCAACTGTCATGAATGGCAGGAGTATCTTTTTAAGTATCTAAACTTAGTTGTTTCGAGAAACGGGAAATACAGCCGGAAACGAAAGTGGAGAATCGGAATCGCTTCTAACTCGCTTGGTAAATTACAGAGAATTTGCGCAGATGTGACTGTCAGCTTTGAAGCAGGTGCCACGATCTACATGTTAACAGTTCAGCTGACCGTATTTTATGTCCTTGAAGATAGTTGTTTGTATAAGGGGGCCGTGATCGACTCTTTCCAACATCTCTGCCTACTTCAGCAACACAGATCATTATCAGAATTAACAGGCAAGCACATGCTGTAAACGATGCACTGACTTGATTCAATGCAACAAGACTTTATTTGCATTTTATTATGCATTTTTTGTTATTTTTTATTTTATTTTCTGTTTCTTTTTTTGTTGCCGTATTCTACGCTAATGACTCATATTGTGCTTCCATTTCATGCTTTCTCTGTCTTCTGACATGACAATGCCAAACTCTTAATTTCTATTCGTTATATAATTCCTGTATGTATGCTAAAAGTGCTATTAATCGGTGATGGCACTTTAGTAGTAGTAACTTAATTTTAACTTAATCTTAATCAAATTTCAATTCGTTTCCAAAGCATGAAACACCAAAATATGACATGCAGAGATTTCAAAGACGCTTCCAAACCTGCTAAAGCAGAGTTAGGAACAAATTGGATTGTACATATATTTCTCTCTCTATGTCAAAATTCATTTTCATTTCATCTAGCTACCCGAAGTTGTTGTAAAAAGAAAGTTTATCAGTGGATGTCGATTTTCTTTGACGTTCATGACTGTACCATTTTGGCGCCCATTTTCATGAAATTGATTTCCGTTTCTATGTCGTCATCTAGGAGAGACATTTTTTAAAAGCAGATTCTACATCCATGTGGCAAGCGCAGCGCTTAGTCTCTTGCTTCCTTCCTACAGAGTGGTATTCATTTGTCAACGTTGAAAGGAAGGAGAGGGATCGGGGCTTGAACTTGAGTTCGAGGCTCTAATGACTGAAAAACCATGATCTGAAGTAATTTATAGTAAACTACTTGCTGGAAGGAATTGTGAATAAGACAAAAATTGCCCTCGAAAGGAATCGAATTCGACTCTTCTGAATTTCAAAGAAGACCTCTTAGACATTGTACGACGCGTACAGAATTTATCATCGAAATTCCTGATTCTTCATATTTTCCACCTTCCTCTTCTTATGATCATTGAAACAACTTTTAAATCCAAGCGACGTAGGCACGATAATGTTGGTACCTCGTTTCGCTTTGGACAGTATTGTTATCTGGACTTAAAATGATTTCTTTCATAATAGCATATGAACCGCATGCTCTGTCATTTGTAACGTAACTGCTAGCAGCATGTGCTATAAATAACATGGCATAATCGTTATAGCAGTGACTTCACCAACTCAGCTTCGTGACGTTGTTCATAAATATAGGATTAATGTGACTGATTCTTAGTCTAAGCTAATCAAGTTCTATCGGCCTATTAGTTACCTACATGGGAAATTCAAAATTGATGCTCCCACCTTGAAAGCAAGCGCATTACCCATTATCCTAATTTTGAAAGTAAAAAAACATCTGCTGTCAAAGAGCAATTCATTCATTGCTTATGCATGAAATATCCCCAATAAGCAAATGGCGAACCAAGCAAGCAATGCAATCCGGCAAATGGCACACGTTTCTGTCGTGCGGTGAATTAAAATTTGATTATTCCAAAAAACACTATAGTGAATAAAGAAATTTAGGTTAAAGTCAAATATTCTTAACGTTGGTTGAGCCATACGTTTAAACTTTGTTCAAAGCAAAGTCAAATTTGAGACTGAAGTTTATCAGTATTGAGGTAGACCGATAAACCGATAACAAACTAAGTGCATAAATGCAATTGAAATAACTTTCATCTACTGCCTGAAATCAGGAGACGGAGAAAGCATTTCAAAGCTTGAGAAAGTGGCATGCTTCTCAACGGCAATAATGGCACGTTCATCGTTGAAGAGCAGAGTCGAGAATTGTGTCTCTCTAGGGTTTCTCCCACAGAACGGCACATGCATTCAATATTTATGACTCGATTTGTGTAACCGTCGGCTTAACCGTTCAGTTCGGACGATGTTAGCCGTCGAAATTGCCTGAAATGCGTCAATTGTTAACATAGCCCTCATTCATCGACCGATCTGTCGACTCGGCAGAATCACTTAGCGAAACGCTGCTAATAAGATGAGGGAGAAAGCGACCAGTGTGACAATTTGTGCATCTACGAGAAACAAAGACTGATTATAGGAATTAATATAGTATCGATTTAGTGAATAGTTGCGTGCCGCCACCAGATGGCCGGCTACAATGCGTTACTGTTCCATTGGCTGAGGATTAGTCGTCAGTCTTTGCATGCCTAACCAATGAAGTGCTACATTTCAGGCTATAGTGATGCTTCGAGGTTCGGGCTTCTGCTACTTGTATGACCGCCTTGCGAAGATGTTCGACGTATGACAGCGGGCTGCAGCAGGTGACATGCTGTTGAACGTGTTGCATTTGGTAGTGGCTGCGTTAGGTAAAAGCTTTTGCCTTATTTGCCCTGTTTTCTCCGGTTAAGTTAACTCGTTGCCGACCCATTGGACGCTAACTCGCCTACGTGCGATGCGTCAGGAAATCACGTCGGTCCTTTGGCCACTGCCGCCCCGCTTAGTCAATCAGTCGACTTTCGTGCTCGGTATGCGACAATTTCCAATTTCTGCAGAGCTAACAATGCGACTGGACTCAGTGCGGTGCAGTACGGCGTTCTGCGGCTCGTAACCCTGGTTTTAGGTGACTTTTTCTTCCAAACGACCGATGGCATTACGACGCTAAAGGATTCTCTCTCTCTTACGTCTCATTTCGCTGAATCGATAGGATCGTTGATTTACGACCCGTAAAACGTATCGAACTTGGCAGTGGCGCATCGGACACGTCGTGATTTTA